TGCAATTGTTTAATTTTCAATCAGTATATGATGCTGTCGGCGGTAAACATTAATTCAGCGAATTTGCTTGCAAGATATTTGAATGACCTCGTGTAATTATAGCTTCGCAAGACCAATCATATTCTACAAGAAATGTTAAGTTTTCTTTAAGTTTATTTATTCAACTTCCTTCATGATTCTCATTTAACCCTTTCCTTTATAGATATTACTGGTAAAATAACTATATGAACCGCGCCATATTGAACCCTAGATGAGCCGTCAGTACTAAAGAACTCTGATATAATATAGGAATAACGCATGTTTCTTTTTTCGTGTTAAAATATCTGTAGAAACCCAAGGGATTAGTTGGTACCCGACCCAACGTATCCGAGGGTTTCAGCAGTTGTTATGACACGGAACAATCCTTCGTTAACGCTATTCTAGCATAAAGCATGCATAAATCTAACACAATCCATACACAATCAAGCAACATCACTGATTTTCCTCGGATTGCACGGGAACGTCAGCGTTGTATGTGACCGTGACGTCATTTCCGTTTTAGTTAAGCAGCGTCCGGGCCACAATGTATTGACGCTGTGCCACGGAAAACGTATATCAAAAAGGTGTTTTAACAGCGCATGAGCGCTAGAATCTCCTTGTTAAAAGACCTTTTTGGTCCTGTTAAAACACCCCGAAATCATGGTTATAACGGCAGTTTTATGCTAGAATATAAAGTAATGAATAACAACATGGATTCCAAGAAGACTAAAAGCAAACTCACATTGCACAATACTAGCCGCAATTATAATACTGCTAATAAAGTTCACGAATTTTCATTGGTTTAGAGGCGGGATATATTTATAGGTTATTACAGAGGTCTGATGTGCCTTTATTCGATTTTGGCCCACTAAAAGAGCCCGAGGGCTAATACCGATCTTGTAGACCCATATCGCATTAAGGCACACCAGACCTGTTCTATAACCTTTTTATTGCATGTGCTCATTTATGTTTTGGTTTTCATTATAGAATTAAAAAAATCGTTTGAAAACATTGTTCAGCGACAATGTATAATTTATTTTAAAAAGCGAGGGACTTTTGACGTCGTCTAATGACGTTGACGTCATTTCCTCACAAACATTTGTTTTTAATATATTTTGGCGTTATTTAACTGTTTGGAGATTGTTTTTCAAGTGTTTCTTCAATTTTGCTTTTTTATCAAGATATATTTCAGTTAAACGTATTTTTTCTTATAAAATTGTCAATCTTTCCGCGTTTTTTTAGCAACCCGAAGTGGGAAATCGATATCGGCCCAACCGGAAGTCGGACCGATATCGATATTTGGCGCATCACGTCACCTGACCACAGTCATATTACATGGACAAAACTCATATACGTTTAAATTCACATTTTTTTTCTATTTATAGTGTTTGCCGTTGCGTATTTATAGGTTATTACACAGGTCTAGTGTGTCTGAATGCAATATTGGCCAAGAAGAGGTATTGGCCCGAGGGCTTTAGCGGTCTCGTAGGCCAATATAGAGGATATTACATGAGTGTCTTTTCATATTGAATTTATTAAACGAGTTGGATAAAATAATAAATTGCGAGGCTCTGCCGAGCATTTTATTATTTTATTCATATCACAGGTTAAATTTTGGAGCCGATAAACCGAAAAATTGTTGTTATTTTGTAGTTGATGTGCGTATGCGCTTGTAAAACCGGGACACGAAGAACTGAATTAAAAAACAACAAAGAAACGTAAAATCGAATACGTAGAAGCGAAAAAAAAACCGAATATACGACAGCTTAAAGGCTAAAACACGACACATTTTATCTGCCGCATTGTTGCATTTATTCTATCGTGTGTTCGTTTCTTCGCTGCAAAGATTAGAAAAAACGAAAATGCGAAGATAAGACAAACTGTGATTTTGTCGTGCCTTCGTCTTTTCCTGATCTGCCTGGCAAGGACAACGAAACATCAAAGATACGACAGATTTAGGGCGGAAACACGGCACATTTTATATCTGTATTGTCGCATTTATTCTGACGTATTTCATTTCTTCGCTGCAAGAAATAGAAAAAAAAGAAGCGAAGATACGACAAACTGTGGATTTGTCGTGTCTTCGGTTTTTCGTTTTTTTCTAATCTTCGCGGCGAAGAAACGAAACAAAAAAGACACGGCGTAAATCAGCAACAAAGTGTTTTATTGAAACCGTGTGGACATATAACACAATTCGTAATGTTTGATTATGCGTCCTTTTCAATATTTTGAATTGCTACACGATAATATTACATTATATTACAACTTACATGCTATCCTACTTGATATGTTTAATAACGTTCTGTACTATACAGTCGCGCAACAACATTCTGTATTACACAACACTTTTCAGCATTTAACTACAAAATAATTATTTATCACGTTTGAAGTCGCGGGAGTGGAATAAAGCCATTACATATTTTCCATATTACACTAGTGTAATATCGTTTTGACGTGCTCTTCATGTATACTGAAGGAAATAAAATATCTATCTACGTTAGCGGACGTTGCTTAATTTTACCGCGCTTATAAGGGAAAATAACGACAAGTTTTCGCTTTTTCGGCGGCAAAAGTTTACCTGTGATAAAAAGAATATTACATTCGTGTCTTTTTAACATTGAATTTATTAAACTCGTTGAATAAAATAATAAAATGCTCGGCAGAGCCTCGCAATTTATTATTTTATCAAACTCGTTTAATAAATTCAATATGAAAAGACACTCATGTAATATCCTATATTTATTTGATGCTAACTAATGAAATACTGTTCTATCAATGAAATATATTCATATTATATCAGTCACAGTGTGGTGATATAGATTTGGGTGATATAAGCCACGCCCACTCTGCGTACGTATTTATAAGTCTGGATTCCCTAAACATGCATTAAAAATAACTGTTTAATTTCATTCTAAATGACATATTTCTCGATTCAAATGTCCGTAATTTTGTAAGATTGTTGACAATGAGACCGCAAAAAGAAATATAAATAAATAAGGATTATTTTGCTTGCAGCGTTAACGTTTGCCGTCATATTGTTTTACGCGCGCGTAGTCTCCGCGCTTCAGTAGTAAACGGTCTAAAAGCACTTTTCAAAAGGCACATAAAATAAAAAGAAAATGTGTTTGCTTTTCGTGAATATGAACTATATCTCACATCGAAGTGAGAAAATGTTCATATTTTCACTCGCGCTACGCGCTCGTGATACATATTTCATTTTTTTTCTCACTTCTCAGTGAAATATATTTCATATTCACTCAAAACAAACAAATATCCTCTATAAAATTCACTAAACACCGTCGTTTGAAACTATCTAATCATAAAAGGCGAAAAAAGCTAAGACGCGTCGAAACGATAAAGCGGCCCCGCCACAAAAGACACGATCTGTTTAAACGAATTAACTATATTATTATTACTAGTGGAATAGATATGGAAAGTTCCATAGAGCGTCTGCAAGCAATTGGCACAGACTTGCAAAATCGTCTCAGGAAAGAAGGTTCCTAGATGTCAAAATGTCATACTCTTTAATTGAACCAAGATTCCTGAAAGTCTGCGGAAGTCAAAAGTCTGTCAGACCAAAAAAGGTTCATTGATGTCAAAAGGTCCTAATCTCTAATTAGATATCCTGAAAGTCAACGGGGGTCTCAGCTACTTCCCAAACAATCATATATGGTCTCATTGGTGTAAATATGGTCATAATTTGTACTGAAACTAAGATTAAGTCTGTGAGATTCCTTTAGACTGTCGCTGTATGGTGGGAAGAAATTTGAGGGTTCACAGAGGTAAAAGATCACTTCCAGTTGAAGTCTGATACTATGCCGTGCATTGTCACCAAAATTTTTTGAAGGTTTCGAGAACGTAAGACGACTTGATAGCAATACCATTACGACAATGCGACAGTTCTATGAAGACAATACAATGCCGACGATACGATATTGCAACAAGTTAGTACGATGGCGATAATGCAATGGTGGTGAAAAGATATTGGTATCGTGATGTCGACATCACAATATCGATTTATTGCATTGTCGCCCTTGTACTATCGCACTGATATAACCACGATTGTCCTTATGATATTCCGTGTATCACATATTGAAAAATAAACTTGTGACATTTGTGATTCGCCTGTTTAAAAATTCTCAATTTTGCTTGTGACGTTTGTGATTGGCATTTTTACCCGATTTTGGTCAATCACATTCGTCACAAAAGTCATTTGTGACGAATGTGATCACATTCGTCACAAATTCATAAAAACTTGTGACGAATGTGATTTGTGACACATGTGGCCTAACACAGCTCCCTTTAGTTGGGAGCTTTATTCGTTGCAGTAGTAGTTATGTTTCGAACGGGGAGCTATATTCGTTCATAACTATCTGGGGCGTAATAGTGCCCAGTCAAATCGGATTTTAAAAGACACATCCTCAGAAACGAATAAAGTTTTCATTCTTAAGAAAGGGCAAACGTAAATTTTTAACACAATGAGTTTTTCAGCATGTAAGTCGCTCCTTACCTGAAAAAGTGGCGCTGATTGTGGAAGGTTTTTGTGTGATTAAAGTAGCAAAATGTTAACAAAAATATATTAACTCGCCATAAGTGTAGTAATTACAAAACAAAAGCACAATAAGCAAAATATAGTTTAGGTAATTGGTCGATGAGTCATGTGCTGGAAATTTAAAACTGTACACTAACAAAAACTACTTTGAGAAATAAATCTGTCTGGTACATAATGGGCCTTTAACGATTACCCCGTTTTCTTTGCAGATCTGATAAATGTAGATGTAAGTGTAGTTATTGACAGGAAATTACAATAAAAATTACTGTTTTGTCAGATTGAAACAAAAATAGTAAATCTGTTCAGAAACGTTTCTTCAGGTGGTTTTTTTTGCAGATTTTGTTTTCAATGAAACAATCATCAATCTTATCTCGTTAAAATAAAGACACGAACTATTTAGCTAAATAACCCTTTTTTTTTTTTATTTCAGAGATGATGGCTGATTTGATACGAACGTCTATGTTCTGTGACGTCAATAACGTCATTATAGAGGGTGACCAACAGTATTCTGGTGATGACTTGTATGATACCTGTTCTGTCAATTTCATGGAATTCATGACAAGGACATCTGACAATTTTGATGATGTTTCTATGGATACAGACGTGTTCGTCGAGCAGGAACAACAACAATTATGCCAGCAGACGACACCTCAGAATGACGTCACAGACAATACGTGTAAAGTTTCGGTTGCTACGCCTGAGATTTGCCAGAACTTTCTGTCACGTATCGCCGAAGCGTCAAAAGTTGATTATAGCACGTTCAATAATGAAGCCCCGAGTGATGTATTTTGTAACAATTATTTGCTTCCTGTAGTAGCGCAGAAGCAGACGATACTTGAACAGATACCAACTTGTGAGTCTAAACCGGAAGCAAGCGCCAAATTCGCACGGCCTCCATATTCATACGCGGCATGTGCAGTTGCCGCCATGTACTTGATAGGAAATAGTTCCGCATGTGCTAATGATATCTTAGATAAAATTTGCTCAGTGTTTGATGATATGAAAGCTTGCAAACAGACAACAATTCAGAAAACAACTTTGTAAAACCCTGAGAACTAACAAAATGTTTGAACAAGTCAAACAAGGCATTTTCCGTGTAGTGCCGGGGTGTGTTGACAAGAACGTGTTTCATCGACAACCATGTGTAGATTCGAAACGAAAAGATAAATACGCAGACACAATCCAAGAACACTTGAAAATCCCCTTCATGTTGGAACATTTTGGTATCGAACAAGTCCGAAAGGAGAAAGCGCCCCGTAAAAGGCGCAGGATTGTTGTTAGTGAATTATTGAAGTATCGTTCATCAAATGGAAAATCTCAGGTGCAATCAGTAAATATTGAAGATGAACTTACCAAAGACCTCAGAATGCCACATCGTCCGTGTTTCAATGACGACTCTGACAATGAAAATAATGAATTATTTACACCAGTGCCACGACATAACATTTCTCCAGTGTCAGAAGTCTTTGTACACACAAGTGTTAATATCTGTAGTGACGATTCAAAATATAATTCTGAGCAGACGATGAACAATGTACAAATGCCCCTATGTGCTTCCAACACTGCTGTACAGCAAACTCCGCCCGTCGTTGTTCCAGTTCCAAGATACGCTGTACCAAATCCCTCATCTTGTGTTCCGCTCCGCTGTCAAGAGTATCATGTGCCTTTCGTAGGTACATTTCATCTGGTTGACATGTACTATAACGGACAGATTATCCATCAATTGTACCCATAAATCAATAAAATGTGATAGTGAATACAAAATGATGCATTGAAATGACTGGATATTATATAGTAAAAGGGATACATTGTGTTGTATGTTTTGCTGGAAAAATTAGGTCTATTGTGATATTTTCACTGATTTGCTCTACCCATTAAGAAAAACATAATATTATGTTTTTATAAGTGAGATTCTATATGTGTGACTCACTATTTTGTTGACTGTAAATGTTACGCTAGCATATAAACACAATGTAAGAGGAATAAAATAGTATTTTTTTCCACGAAAGCTAAAAATATTCCATATTCACTCAAGGCAAATGAATAAACTACGGTTTACATTTTTCCATGTCATACCTTGACAAAAACATATTTATATGATATTCTTTCAGTGTAAATTATTCGTTGTAATTTTAAACTTTTATAAAAAATTTCAGAAAACTCTTTTTCAAATTCAGATTATGTATTGTTGAGTGTTTTGTTATATCAAATACACGCACAAGTGTTTTGTCTTTATGCAAGATTAAAAGAATATGCTATTTATATATCCCTTTCAAGAAATGCATATACTTAGATCAAATGCAAAATTAATTTAGCAGATTTCATATTTAATGAAAATTAATTGTTCCGGACAGGGCCTTATATTCAAAATTTATCAAAAGATAAATTGATATTTTAACACATTTCACATGTATATTTTTGTAAATACAAAGTAGTGACTGTGTTTTTGTTTGCGTAATTCATTTGCAAAATAAAGACAAATGTAATGTGTTAAGTTTGAGAGCCTTTGACTTAAACAGACTGATACAATTATCAGTAGTTAATTGATATTTTAAATATTGTAGTTAAGTTTCATAGCTGATTAAAATGGAATCAAAAACTTTATGTCATGACCACTCATCATTTTTGATGTCTAAATATGGTAACTACAGCACCATTTCATATACAATAATTTCTCAATTAAGAAAATGTATAAATTATTCTGATTTAAACTCACGGTTATTGTTTTTATTTGATTTTGCAATCTAGCTTATCTTTTAATCAAGAATGATTAGGAAACTATATATTAAGTACTATTATTTATGTATAAATTTAAATAGAATTTAAATCAGTTATGCTATTTGCAGTTGTTGATCAAATGTGCATTTTTAATTTACTGTTATTCTATGTAGTAATTGTTTAATGAAATGTGCACATTGATCTGAGATTAAACCACATGATCTTGTGTGTCAAAAAGTTGTCAATCAGATTTTTAGATTAATCCTATTGTATTTTTGTATGTTAAACATTCCAAAAAAAAAATTGTTAATAAAATGTGCATATTAAATCGTTAAACTTGTTTTATTGTTGCATGTATCAAATGTGCTTATTACATTGCAATTAACCTGTTGTGCTCTTGTATGTAAAACATTCCATTATATATCTGTTATTCAAATGTGCATATTAAATCGTTGAATTAAACCTGTTGTGTTTTTGTATAATACTTAATCCTAATAAATATCAAATGTATCATAATATTTCTTATTTCATTAAGAAAATAATTAAATTTGTAGCACACGTTAAAGTTTGCTACGGATTCTTTTTCCAAGGCTGACATGTTATTACTGTTAATACGATACGAATATCTTCATAACAATTTGAGAAATGAACTTGTTTTTATAATGATAGATAAACTCGATATTTTGATAAACGTGAGATTATATACACAAGTCATTATCTTCGAAACATCACTGACAATATTAATATAAAACATTATCGTTCACACTATTGGTAGCAAGTTACTGGTTTAAACCTACATCAAACGGAACATTAATCTTGGTCTCGCCATGTCAAAAAACCTCAGTGGAGTCCCTTTAATATTAGATATCAATACGTACAGCATAAAATGTATAATTTAGACAGCAGGTAAAACAATGCGTATAATAAAACATCATCATTTTTATTACAGTGTAAATATATATAAAAATGTTAAAAATTTGGAACAATATTAATAGGTCAACAAATTATATAAAAATAAGTATCTGTAACAAACTAAAAGAACACTACCATCAAAATAATTAAAAAGAAACAAGTGCAACAATGTTATTACCTGATATGTTAAAATTAATATTTGAAACCACATCAAATATGCCACCATTTCTGTTTTTTTTATTATTGTTGTTGACATTTCTCCTAAATTTGAAGCGTCCGGCAATGATAAAAACAACAACAGCGACAGAAAATCGTAACACACACTGTCATTAACGCGTAATTCCATAAAAATTGTTGATCTGAGATTCATTATAACCCAAATCGAACATTTTCTGAGCATATTATACATGTATACTTGCGTCAAACTTATGGTGATGTGTGACACAACCTGCATGCAAACGTTTTTACCATAAAATCAGACATTATTTACTGTGTTGATTCTTTAATGTTGTGATCTATCTCAATCTGAGGCAAAAATACTCGTTTTGACCAAACCTTTAACAGACCCACTGTCCCCAACCCTACTCTCGATATATCCTGGATATGCTATAGAAGATAGACGTTCAATCAACGTAATATAGAAATATTACCCGAACTTCAAAAAAAATATAAAAAATGCACGTATATGTTTTCTTGAGTATTGATACAATTATGGTGAAAAAACATCCAAATAGTGTTGATTTTAGTAAATCGTACAAACTTGCGTATGTCGCCATGGTATTTTTCTCTGAATAAACACATCAGTACTTAGTTATTAGTATAAGAAAACTTGTAAAATCTTGACAACACTGACAGATAAAATAATCAAAACCGAAAATGCCGGTGACATATAAGAAGACGCTGCGCTGACACAATACTTTTCCTCTTCCTCTACCTCGTATCCGCTGAATTTCCAATTTCCACATTTTGGGAAATTCTTTGGAACTTTAGGCATATCGTTTGGATTTCCAACTTGTATAAGAAGACCCATTCCAATATTCATGTGAAATTCGATATGACAGTGGAAAAACCAGAATCCTAAAATAAATGGAGTTGAGAAGTTAGTAGTATATACACCAAATAAAACAATTTTCATAATCATTTTTCAGACTTAATATAAGATTGGCTTTGCAATTAATCATATGTTTGTAATTGTTGGTTCTAACGTCGACAAATATAATTAAAGAAGATGAAATGAATAATTTGTAGCATGTTAGCAGTTACCGCCGTCGGTTATTCTCAACAATCAACTGATTTGGTTACAAATCAATTTTAGAGACTTTCACTAAAATACTTTTTTTGACACCATTTAATTAAAAAAAATAACGTTGAAATTTAAAATGAATCATTTCTGTTGAACGTTATCTGTTAAGGCTATATAAAAACAAACTTTTTTGACAATGAAAAACATATAACATATCGATTATTCACATATAAGTTTACCTGGATTGTCTGCATAAAAACGTAATATCACATATCCACCATCAGGAACAGTGACTGAATCTTTGCCCACGGCATCAACAAGATTTCTAGTAAGGTTTCCCTGCTCATCTAGGCGTTTAACTTCCTCTATTGAAGTAGACTGTCCAAGCTTAAAACATAAAAAAAGATTAACGTCAATCTTTTGACTTTCGAGAACCCACGGACTAAAGATTAACAAATTGAAATAAACCTTTCAGGACTGATAAAATAATAGAACATTTGTGCGTTTATGATAATGTTTTAGGTCATAAGAAGTTTGCTTTATGTTATGTTTTAATGTTGCTAATTTTCCTCACATTTTGTATGGTATAGCTAAAACGTTTCCAAATTGATGTTTAAGTCACACCGACACAGTAATGGTCATATGGCGACCTTCAAGCTTTTCTGTTAGAAGAATACCTCAAGTGCCTCTCCGTGTATAGTTTAAGACACTGTCTGGTTACTGACTGGAACCACCGACGCTCCTTAAGCTAGCTGGATAGCTCCCCGGCAAGGGGAGGTTGGTGGAAGTTAACGATCTTGACCACTAATGTCCCAAATTTTGACCTTCATTTTGTTCATTGAAAAAAGCCAACTTAAGTTAGTTATTTTTGTTCTATTTGCCTTCAGTATTTGTAACTGAATATAACATAAATCAAAATTCTAGCATCTTTATCTATATTTCACATGCTATATTTCTTCCGTTTTTATATTTACATACCCTGTCCATGCCAACGACGTAGAACTTGTGACCATGTAGATGCATAGGGTGGTTGGCATTAAATGTGACCCCTTCGTCAATGACAATTATCTCAACCGTATCATTTAACTGAACGTGGAGACGGTGAACACACTCACAAAATTCTTCTGTACAATTCTTCCCGATGCTGTCACTGTCACAAAACTCACTCTGG